TTTTAGAAAATTAATCATAAATGTGAGTCCAATAAGTATGTCTATGGTGAACGTTCCCTCGAACAAGTTTCGAGTTTGAATCCATTGCTATTGAAAACCTGTCGCCAAATCGCAACCAAATCTGTAAAAAAAGCACGAATGTGATGCGATTCATTCGCTTTCTTGCACATGCAAAATTCGTGCATCATTTGCAATCAAATTTAGGGGGTCTGATTGTTTTAGCGGCAAACGTAAATCTTGAAGTGAAATTCATGCCTGAATTACCGAGTACCAGAGTACCATAATTCATGCCTGACTTACCGAGTACCAGAGTACCATAGGGTGGCTTTGGCATCGGCACTAGCAGCATGGAACGACACGTGATCTTCCTCTGTCGGGAAGACCCCGGGTGACAACACCCGCCCAGGACAGGTTTATTCGTCTTCGACACTTACGGAACAGGTTTACGACAGCATCTTCTTCAACATCTGCAGTGGCAGGACTCCGTCAGACCAACAGTCAGGAGCTGCCTTCGTGAGGCTTGTATTCGTCCTAGTAGAACCTTTGCTAGGGACCTATCCTCACACGACATAATCGGCAACAACATAGACAGTGGTGTGGAAACTATCTCCAGTGGTCATTACAAAGGTGGAGAAGTGTCGTGTTCAGTGAGCAGTCGCGGTATATGCTCAAGCGTCCTGACGGAAGAGCACGTGTGTACACACGGCGTCATGAACGGTATGCTCCCAAGAAGTGGTCACATTTGTTTCTGGTTTTGCGGGAAGAATGTCAGAACATTCCTAGACAGTTCATCCGGAATCTGATCCAATGGGACCAAAGCAGCCATTGATGCTAATGGTGGTCACACAAGACAGTGACAAGATCTGTGACCTTGACCTTCTGCACATGTTATTTGTCACGTCCCACCTCCACTTCCATTCGACAATTTCCATTTCGACTGTGTTTTCTATGTCACTGTCCTGTATCACTCAATAAGTATATGTCCATTTTTTTAGTAAGAAATATTAAAATATCTCCATGAATAGTTCTGATACCAGGTTCTGTTCAACTAGTTTATCATATTTGACTGAAACGAAACTCTATTAGGAAATAAATGTCAGGTTTTACCTTAGACGACTGGGCTACTTATGCCATTATACAATTATGCTACTCAAAGCCACTGTAAAATATGTCCGTGAGACTGCGACGTAATGTGTCGTACGAGTATAAAAAACATCTGGGAACGCATGCAGAGAGCATGTCCGTGATATCAATGTCATCATTTCACAACTGTTTGTATTAGTATGCATGAGGCACATATTTGCTGTGTTTTCCGACCTTGGTCACGGGGAAGCTGAAATCACACTGAAACCATGACGTCCACGTAGCACTTGCTCAGTGTTGCCAGCAACACCAGAGACATCAGTTCAGTAGTGTTTTCATCTCCCATTTGCCCACACAGCTGAAGCTGAACTCAGTGGACAGGTACGTTTGTGTTTGAACACCACCCATCACACACCCGTTGATATGACATTCTCATTTATCTGATAATTGAAATCACGAACCTTATGATTTTGACACTTAATCAAATGTTGTGTTTCAGGACCGCGGTGGATATTCAAGTTATACTGAGTGTAGTAGGGCTGACGCTTTTGTCAACACAAGGTAATATTTATATATGTTTGGTATTTTGCTTCAATTAAAGAAAAATCCACATGTATTTACATTTGCAGTAAAGACGGATGATATTCTGTGTTTCCAGTGAACAGCAGTCTTTGTGGTCTATTACGAATAATAATGCTGTCATTAGATTTCAACACTGATGACTCATTTGACCTGATAATAGAGATGAATTGTCAAACTGTCTTCGTGTTTTATTGGATGTGTAGATGTGTATGATATTAGAGATAATTTCTTGTGCAATGCTGCGGTATAATGCAGTGCTATGAACATTGTATTCACGATTCAAAAGCATAGTTAAACATACATAATTAATGTCTACAATGAACCTATCTTTTACAGCGGATAAGTGCATGGAGGACCAACAGTGCTCAAACTGCTCAAGTACAACAAAATACTGCAGTTCGGATTGCTTTCCTGGATATTTCGGTTTCAGATGCACGTTCCGTTGCAGCAAACACTGCATAAACAGTACATGTAGTTTGACAATGGGTGGCACTTATGGTTGCTCTGACGGTTGTGTTCCTGCTTTGGACGACTGCTTTTGAACAATACATGCAAGCCAGCTTTGTGGCACCAGTTTGCTTGTAATTAATGGTAACTTGTAACAGGCAGAGTACTATCAGTACCCATGTGTACATTTTCAGGGGTCAGCAAGCAGATGAGTCGATACTCAGACGGAGATCAAGGCAACTAGAAACAGGAGAGAACTACGTAATACATCAATATTGGGATATACATGATTACGATGAAGTTTCCCAGGCTCAAGATGATCTGCAAGGACTGGAAGAGGTAGAACACTACGATGAAGTATCTCAAGGGCAGCTGCATGGACCCGCAGTGGAAGAAGATAACGATGAAGTATCTCAAGGGCAGCTGCATGGACCCGCAGTGGAAGAAGATAACGATGAAGTATCTCAAGGGCAGCTGCATGGACCCGCAGTGGAAGAAGATAACGATGAAGTATCTCAAGGGCAGCTGCAAGGACCCGCAGAGGAAGAAGATAACGATGAAGTATCTCAAGGGCAGCTGCAAGGACCCGCAGTGGAAGAAGATAACGATGAAGTATCTCAAGGGCAGCTGCAAGGACCGGAAGAGGTAGAACACTACGATGAAGTATCTCAAGGGCAGCTGCATGGACCCGCAGTGGAAGAAGATAACGATGAAGTATCTCAAGGGCAGCTGCATGGACCCGCACTACCTGTGTTGGCTGATTACTTTCCCGGGGCCAAGGATACAGAAGACAACAACGGTGGTGACACATTACCTGGTTCGGCGAGGGGTTCCCAGTCATACACTCGTTTAAGGAGGGATGTGTTTGTTCATGATCCGAGGACTGTAGTCACGTATATATCACCAACCGAAGACAACACATAAAGTAGCAATGGAAGATACTTAATTAATCAAATACTGATACATTACTTTAAAAAAGTACGCGATGTTGCATCTTTTGTTTTGTCCTGTTTGCAACATATGTTGAATATGTCAACAGGTCACCAAGTCACATCCTGTATTTTCACTGAAGGCTGGTGATTCATCACCATTCTAAAAAACAGTAGCATTTGTAGTTAATGTCATTATGACCGGACTGTTGCTTTGTGGTGTCCGACAGCTAACAAACACTTACACAATTATGCATGTTATGGGTTAACGAATATCTCGTCATCATCGATTCCAACACCTTTGCTTTATACACCTGTCACCGAAATGTAAAAACACATCGCATCACGGCTTCGAAATCCACGAGCCTCTGCTGTCTCAGTCTGGTGACAGGAATACCATTCTTTGTGATGTTTTCCTCAGGCTTCATCGAGATATTTTGGTATACGTAAATTATATTATCTAACACTATATGTTCATATTAGATATGTTATCAATGTTTTAGTAACTTTAGTTTTCATGCGGCAATGGGATTAGTTTGTACAGTATAGATATTCTTTGTTTAGTTATATTCATTTGTCCCACCTCTAGAATAGTAAATATATTTCTGTAAACGCTTAGCGCTTTAGTTTGGCGGCGATTGTTTTGACTTCCGTTTTGATACCAACATGCCAGATTTTGCTGTGAGGATCAGTTTACTATTCTTGGTTTTCCTTACTTAAGAAATCACAAGTCGATTGTCTTCACGGTGGCATTCAGTTCTCCAGGCAAGTAACGATTGGTTGTCAACCCTGACGTCCGCGCTTCACGCTTGTATAGCTCAGCTCTTCCCAGTGTAGTGACCACTAGGAGGCGTTTGACCATGGCGTTCTGTTACAAATATCATCTGACGTTTCTGATAAAACAAAATGGATTTCCCACTTAATGACAACTAAGTGCAGCTTGGGAGTAAAACAATCAGACAAACAGTGGACATCCCTGTTGGAGCCAAGTTTGTTACCACTTGCTCTAATCTATGTCCTAAACAAAGCAATTTGGCCATGATGTTCAGCTTAATTTTCGGGAATATCGGTGATCGAAGATCATGTTCATGTCGATAACAAAATCGTCTCAGCTCTTAGCGGATATTTCACGCCGACGTGAGAGGATTTCATCTATTTTATGTATTTGTCGGTGATCACGGTCTGTACTTATTTAGCGTATATATATCACCGACAAACAGATGTGTGTGTACGTGTATATATTTACTTATAAATAGTACATGCGTGTGAGAGTGTGTGTGTGTGTGTGTGTGTGTGATAGTTTATGTTTGATTTGTGTGGCTAAGTCACTTTTACTTGTAACTGTTAGTTTATATCTTATCACGTGTATATATATTGCTCTCTGCATAGCAACTAATTTGTTATGCAGATCCGCTGTTCAGATGATGCAACTTATCCGCTTGGGTACAAACAACCTGGGTACCTTAGAACTAACACTACCTTCAGTCTATGTTAAGGTATGGGAGATAGGTTACCTTAGCTGTACGATTGCTGTGTACAACGGCAACCAGGTAAATACTACCTTACCAGATTCACTACGTGTATATTATAAAAACATTTACTATAATATTTCCTACCTACAGTGTGTCTTTTTGCTCTTTGTAGAATTGTATTTATATTGTGAAACACTGTAACTTGTGGTAGAGTTGGGAGGTGTTCAACTACATGTAGGTGTATTTTATAGACATAATGAGTACTTTAAACGTGTACATATTATTACATTCCATTCTATATATTTCCGTGTGTTCGTTCAGGCTTTTTCACACATAGATAAAAATAAACCATTCGGCCTCACAACCCACAGTCGTTTGTATTTTTTCTTAGTACACTAAACAAAGCGATGTTATATGTATCACGTTATCCAATGGCCAGCTTGTGTACAAACCCGGATAAATAAACAAGAAAGGAATTACATTACATATATTACTGCAGTCAACTGGGACGCTACTAACGTGAACAGAACCAGTCTGTGTTGAAGAGAAACTTGGGTAAGCAGCCTCACACTATCTGTTTTCATTTTAAAACCTGCGGGATATTTCCCGTTTCTTTGTATCACCTACTATCATCTTGGGCAAAGTAAATGTGTTCAAATAACCTCTGGGTAATTTGTGTGCATCGTAAATGTCGCCGTTTTTGACACATCCCATTTTGGGATCGACGGTGTTTTTAAAAGTAAAAATCGGATTGAATCGCATAAATAATATATAAATGATCCCCGATACATGTATATCTTTCTTCATATCACCACCAAAGATACTTCTGAAACGTCTAAAAGTGAAGAACAAAACGAATTATAAACTTTTAGTATGTCCTTCGGGTTCCACAAAGGGAGACTGATCCATCTCATACTTGAGTAGTAGGGGGGAATATGGATTTCAGACCAGTTCCCCAATAGCGATAACTTCGCGAAATACGAGTCCTACGCAGTATGGAAATATCGCTGAATAATGAGAATCATCATAGAATGTCCGTGCAAAATTTTCCTCTGATCGGTCCCTTTATAGATAAGATGTTGTTAAACGTATGACGCAAATGGTTCAACAAGAGAACTTGAGATACCGAGATTTATCATTGGATTGGTATGGAATAATATATGGACTCCTGAGAGCTAAGCGTATTGAAAACATATCAGTCATAGCGGGAAGAGCAACAGACATTCTGGGTTGGTGTAGGTGGGCAGGACAAAGATCCAGTAGAGTTCTGCTTAAAGGTGGGACCGTTGTTTGGGCAAACCAAAGATTGGAGCTGGCGTTAAAAGTCTCACTATGCAGAATCTTTCGTGGACGGGAACGAAAAATTAACTGGATAATGAGAAACATGGACAAGTTCGACACTGGATTTAGAGTTCGTGTAGAACCAACCCAAACTTTCCTGAAAAGATGGAAAACACTTAGCTTGATATCCGACCTTAAAAAAGCACCTTCATTTTGTATGGATATGTTAGCTGCTTTGTTTAATTCAATTTTATCATCTGGAAAGTACCCCCAGGAATGCACTTTGGGAGTCAGACTCCCCATACATAAAAAGGGCAGCACTAATAACCCTGCACATTACAAACCTATAACATTACTAGAAATATCTGGTAAAATATTCGCAAAGGTGATAAGTCTTAGGTTAGACAAATGGGCGAAAGATGAAAAGTGTTTTGTTTCTGAACAAGCAGGTTTTCGCAAAGGGTTCCGAACAACTGATAATATTTTTATACTTGAATTTATTATAACTAAGCACCTATCTCTACATAAGGGTAGACTTTATTGTGTCTTTGTTGATTTAAAATCAGCTTTGGATTCAGTCGTATAAACTGTGGATATTTAAGGCAAAGTGTTTCGTTTACTTCATAATACGTATGCAAATGTGAAGGCTTGTATTTCTTTAGAAGATGGTAATGCCGTCTTTTTCGAGTGCCTGTTTGGTGTTAGACAAGGATGTCAGTTGTCGCCATTTCTATTTTATTTCTTTATTAATGATATTCTTCAATTTTTGTCTATGGATAACCAAAGGTGTATTGATATAGATTTACTGGAACTTTTCATTTTACTATTTGCTGATGATATTGTTATGTTTGATAGTACAGTTGGAGGTTTACAGAAAAGAATCGATAAATTAACAAGCTATTGTGATAAATGGCAACTAAAGGTTAACATTGACAAGACTAAAGTGATGTTTTTTAGGAAAGGTGGTAGACTAAAAAATATGAACGTTTCACACTTAATGGTACCTCTATCGACAGAGTTTCATCCTACAAGTATCTTGGAGTCCACTTCTCTTCTTCCGGATCATGGTATATTACACAAAAGACATTGTCAGAGCAGGCCATAAAGGTTTTGTCGATGCTAAGGTCTCGAATCCCAAATTTAATGAATCTTTCATCTCAGGTTTTGATGCATTTTTTTTATGTCAAGATTATGCCCATCCTATTATATGGTAATGATGTTTGGGTTTTTCACCCCTCACCCAATGCTATTCGAGTTCATGATACGTTTTTAAAGGACTTTTTACACCTAGGTAGGACTGTACCAAATATTGTGGCTAGAGGCGAACTTGGACGTTATTCTGTTAAGGTGAATCAGCATGTCAAGATAATCAGTTATTGGCTCAGATTAGCTATATAATGCTATCTTAAAACATATCTATTTCTACCAATATAAGCTGGCAGAAAATGGAATTAATTGTTGGGCTCTCAAGGTAAAAAAAATATTATTCAGTTTAGGATTTGGCTTTGCTTGGGTACAACGGGGCGTTGCAAATATTAATCATTTTCTAAGTACGTTCAAGCAGAGATGTGTGGATATTGACAGGCAACTATGGTTCGATAATTTAGCCCATTACTCCAAGTTAAGTTTTTATAGACAAATTAAAGTGAATCACAGGCATGAAAATTTTTAATAGCTGTACCAATTCATGTTTACCGTATAGCGCTCTGTAAATTCCGCTGCTCAAATCATAATTTAAAAATTGAGGTTAATAAAAGATGTAATATTCCACCAGAAAAAGATTGTGTCCTTTTTGTATTGTCATTGTTCAAGAATCTGAATTTCACTTCTTGTTACAATGTCCATTTTATTCAGACCTTAGAAGTAGTACTCTACCCATGGATTACTGTACATCGCCGTCTTTACAAAAAATGTATCTGCTTTGTAAATCTGATAATGAGTACATTATTAACTGTCTTGCAAAGTATGTTTTCCTCGCATTTAAAAACGTGCCAAACTTTCGAAATTAATATAATGATAACAGGTATTTATATATGTTCTCATTATAACTACATGTATTCATTACAATTAGTGCTCCTTAGAGTAACGCTATTGTTATATTGCCTGTATACGTAAAATGGGCCGGTGTTACATTTTGTGGTATAACTCCTGTTGCAATGTCCATCTTATACAGACCTTAGAAGTAGTACTCTAATCATGTATTATAAGTACATCATTAACAATATTGTAAAGTATGTTTTCTTCGGATTACAAAAAATGTGCAAAGTCAATATAAGGATCACATGTATTTATTTATGTACTCATCATAACTATATGTATTCATTACAACTGGTGCTCCATAAAGTAACGTTATTGTTATACTCCATGTACATGTAAAATGGGCCGATGTCCTCATTTACTTCTGAATAAACAACTATTACTACTCGTCTTAGCTGGTGTTAGTTCGAATCTTTTGTTTCATTCTGTGGTATTTGGTGAGTTGTGCCAACGCCAAACGGAACTCTTCCTCCGTGATCTTGCTATCAGCTTCAGTTAAAACCGTAATTCTCGTACATTGCAGCCGACGTGAAATGAAGTTAAGAGCTATCCCCGCCGGCCCCAATACCCTGGCTACTATTTGTAGCCCGTGGACGACAGGAAGACTTCAATAATAAGTGTATAACATTTATCCCAGATTCTCGGGCTTGATTATGTTTATTAAATTCTAAAAATAGACTTTTATCTGTTTTTCCCTGACGGTTGAATAACATATTGCATGTTTGGTATGGAAATGTTGATACGTACGGCCACCATGTTGTTGGGTTTTAAAGAACCAAGTAGAGCAAACCCCTCATCATGCATGACAATACAGTGGTAGGTAAGGATGATATTGATTATCTGTTCAGTTCGAGTATCACGTCTCGTTGTTTGTACACATTGTTTTTTAACTGCAAGGCGTACAACGCGTCTTCAACACTGGGTTGATTGAATTCACGCGTGTCCCCGAGATCGGTGAGCGCTAGTGTAGTGCATTTTGCAGCGTACATCATTATGATAATTTTACAAAATAGTTTTCCAATGGTTTTCTGATAGTGTTTCGTGCGTGAACTTCAAGCTGATGAGATGTGTATATTCGTGGGTTAGAAACATTTTGCTGAGTGAAATATTATTTTCCAAGACGACATTGACCCCCTTGAGACTCGTGTAAGCTGTCGTGATTCTCTGGATGTAAATTTTAAAAGTGATGTTTATGTCTTTGAGCGCAACGGAGTTTGACACTTGTCACGATTTCGACATCATCAGATGATTGCTCACTGAGAAATACTTTGATGTATACAGTATAGCGTCATACTCCGTGGAATCCCTTGTACTTCAGCCGACGCTTCATCAAATTCAGTCATCAGCTGTAAACGTGTGCCGCCTTGGAGGGACAGATGACTCGGCAGCATGTAGTCTGCTCTTCTCGGGACGACGTTCACGAGCAAGCTCCCAGCACAATCCCGTTATTGACGACTTTCATTACATAATAATCCTTATTCTCGATCAACACGCTTGGAGAAACGACGTTGATATTGAGCAGCCAGTCGATTTTAGGCAATATCAATGTCCATTAGTTGTCGTCAGTGTAGACGAGATTATACAAGGTGTTTTGGATATAACCCAGGTTTTGCCATCATTTAAATCGCCTGCTGCGGCCATGAACCATTTGTTGTTGTTACGCACGAGATTGTATTGAGTGTCATTGAAGAGTCCATCCCCGATCTCGACATCGTCGAAACCTCCTAGATTACTAGCAGTAGCTCCGTCATCCAATTCGGTGCGATTGTACACTTTGTTTTTCAGTTGCAAGGCGTACAGCGTACCTTTGACTCCGGATTCATCGAATCCTCACGAGTCCCCGATGATTGAGATCGCTACGTTAACACATTTTCTGATGCGTTGCGTTCCGGGACCCACAGCTTCTGTCATTGTTTATGTGTAGCGTCGTGCTGAGATATCCTATGTGTATTGGTTCATGCTTTATATCTAAAACGGATTTTTGCGTTCGGTGATAGTGCCTGGAGTTAATTTCTTGTATGGAAACGACTCAGTTCTTCCGTCATTGTAGTTTTCTTTTTTGACCATCATTGCTCTCAGCATCTTTGAAGGCCTTTCGCCTTGAATGTTATCGGTCGTACTTATCTGTTCGAGATAAATGCACAGCTCATGATAGGAAACTAGGTTGAGTAGTTTAGAGCCCGTCACGGTGGTTTGCTGTGGTACTTTCTTCGACGTCAACCTGAGTGTTCTGGCCA